AGAACCTCCTTGAAAACAGGGATGCTGCAAACATCCAAATGCTTGTTTGTATTTTCTCCCGATGCCTGCAGTGAAGATGCAGATTTGTTCAACCCATAACAATAAATTTCAAAAAGAACTCAGCAAGCTCAGAGACATGCAAAAGACACAAGTTTTTATGCATTTATTTCTCTTTGTGACCAGGTCACCCCACATGACTGCACTAGGCATGTTTTCTTACGCTTGCAAACAAATCATGGGAGAAATCAGCAAAGTTAAACAACAGGATGCTGTAGATACTTCCTGAAAGCCACATGAGCTATAGAATTTACCGATAAAGTCAAAGCCAAATCCACAGCAATCCTTGCATTTACTGGGCTTTGCAGAGGGCTTCAAAGCAATGAGTCAGATGATAAATGCACTGCAACACTAGACACAGTGCTGTAGACAGAGACAGGTCTTTCGCTTTAATTTTTAATTTCCATTTTCTGTGGGTTTAGACAAACCACTGACATTACTTTAGCATAATACTTTGTAATGAATCAATACTTTAATTTAATAATGGTATTCTGTTGTCAACATATAATATATCACATAATGTCCTTGTATAGTTGCTAAAAAAATATGCCCAATAAAATGCAAGGCTTTGCTTCTGCCAGCGATCACAGCTTAAATCAACATAATGAGAATCTGTACAGCCCCCAAAAGATTTTTCGTAGGGATTAAAAGGCACCATGGAGTCATTTCAGCCATATCCCTTCCTCTTATCATACCAGTGCTGTGAAAGTTCTCCAGGTCATGCTATTCCAACAAATACTTCAACTAAAGGGAAATATATCTGAACTGAATCATTGTACATATCTGTGAGCGCAGCCTTCATATAAGCATTCAAATTCCTCATGAACTTGATGAAAAGTGTGCTAGTTCCCAACTATAACGGGGATTATAAATGTAAAAGTGAAATTAAGCCCAACGTCATTCCACCTAATTGAACAGAGGAAAAAAGTTATAACCATAATAAATGAAAAATAAAATTACAAATACTTATGCTTTAGGGTATATTCTCTATTTGTTATTTTGTATCTTGGCATTAGCTTTGGTGCTGACAAGTATATAAGGCGGAAAACACAAATCTAATCACATCTGTGGTACACTGACTCATGGTATGGGAACTGAAAGCAAGTAGAATGAGAATAAGAAGGAAATGCTTTCAGAGTTCCCAGTTCGATATATTTTTCTTTGTTCCATGGCCTTTGATGCTTCATAGATTATTAATCTATGCCATATTAATCTCACTCAGTGCTACAGGCACGTGTTCTAGCATCACATGCGCACTCCATGATTCCAATGACAGCTCACGATCAGAACGCAAAGCGCTCACAGATACTTGTCATTCGTTGGCAGGATGCTTCAGAGCTCTGGAAAGAGTAGGTCTGGTTTTACTACAGTTTGGCACCTCCCACTACACCCTCCAGTTGGTGAAAACCCCGCAGTTCCATGTAAGTGTCATCTTTAATGTGAAAAAGATATTTGAATCAGTGCAAAATAAAACAAACAGCTTTCACCAAAATGTCAGTGCTGGTAGCAGTTCAGCTGCCAGATGCTTGTTACTTGAACCTATGCCGTGCATAGCAAACAGACAGAGATATGACTAGGACAAACGACTGGACTAGAAAATCTTTAGCAGGAAATCAAAGTGTGTTCAGGCTGCAGTCTGGACACAAAAGAAGGTCGCAAATGGACTTCACAAGATCTATTGATTAAGATTTCTGTAACATCTCTTTTCCTGGTTACAACGCATTACTTGAGCCCCACCTGCCTGACCTCAGCTCTCTGCATTAGCCTTTTGTCATAGGAACACCACAGAAACCACGGGGTATTTCACAGCTGAACACACCTATAAGTACAACATCTCAATTTAAAGATAATAACATTACTGAAAAACTCAGAATACCATGAAAAAAATGCACAGTGGAAAAAATCAGGGCATGACACCATAGAAATGAAACCAATGGTTTGATAATAATAAAACCTCACCGGCACGTTCCAGTCACTTGGCTGATTCTGCTCATCTGTGGGTTAGGCTATCCTAAATCAATGATTGATTTTCACATTGAATGCTGGGAAATGAGGCTAAAAAGCCACAATCTGTACATGAACATGAGAAACACACGCAGGCACACAGTACAGAGAGAAAGCCGATGAGTCAATGGCTTTTGCTTAGTCAGAACCTGAAGGATCTTCAACGAGAACTTGCAAAGCAGCTCACAGATAGCTTGACTTTGAGTGAAACACAACCAAGAATTATTGTCATTATGCACACCCACAAAAAAGTGAGAGATTTCACAACATCTCCTCAGCTGAATACACACACAGAGAAAAGGCTTTACCGGCATCGACTTCAGGTGGGCAATCATCCGGCTTTCTGAAGAAATAGTTTCCAATTTGTTCTCCATTTCCTCAAGTCACATTTTGAGCCCATTTTAACACGTTGAAGCAATTAAATGAACTGCCACATGAATAATGACAGCTGTTTCTTTTCTTAGAAGCCACGAAAGGCTAAATAACCCATAACCCCTGCCTCCATCTGTGCCTTGCCAAGCCGGTGGATCACACAGGGCTGTGCACTGCTTTGAAAGCTGGGGCATCAGATTTGTCATGTCAGATTTGTATTCACGCGACACAACAGATCCACGACTTCCATTTCAACAGCCACCGGAGCAACGGCCACATAAGGACCATGCAGCTGAATTTACAAAACGAGGATGCACTTGTTTAAAAGAATACCCTTCCTTGCTAAGAGTTGTTAGTCAGGGCAATGCGAACTCAGTGGCAGACGCAGGTACTTGTTGTAGGGTCACACCATGGCAGCACTTCCTGGCAGGATGAATACATTACTTGTCCTTCTCCCCTCTGATAGATACTGCAGCCTCAGAGAATTTCACATGTATCCTCGGACAGGCTTATATGCATCAGGGAAATACAGCTGGCTTTAAATAAATAAATTATGCCACATGCCCTACAAATTCAAATCCTTTTTTATGTAATCTATTTAATCTTCCATTAATGATAATCTCTGCTATCAATGTGCCCAAACAGGGTCAATTTCTACTGGATTTGCACCTCTTGCATTTCATCCTATAACCCAGCTGTACTTAATGAAGGGAAACACCCTGCTGTAAAAGGTATTAGCAGGCTCCCGGAAACAAGGAACAGTTACAGGACTGTAAAACTGCCAGGAACATTTCAAGGCTCTCTTCTTCCTTTGTGCACCCTGAACGCAAAAGAGTCCTGCCAGTGACAATAATTTATTAATAAGGATTTTACTGCCTTCTATATCTTTTGTAAGGAGGCAACAGAGATGGGAGAAAATTGCAGCAGACTTCTCTTCCAGACCCAAAGAGACACAAAAAGGAGAAGGGCAAAGCTCTCATGGCAGCTTTTAAATCCTGACAGGTCCCACCCAGGCTGGAAACCCAGCAGCATTTCAGGCACACACGTCACTGCAGTTTGAAATGCCAGTAAGGTACTGCTGCACACAGGATTTGAGATCAGAGACGCAGGTTGCAAATCACACTCCCTTCACACGTTTTGTTTCCTTGTTTGTTTTTTTTTTTCCAAGTGTTCTATACAGCTCCATATACCTCAGTGAGACAGCTAAGGCTCAGATCCACAAGAGATTTTCCCTCTGGTACCACTGAAGCTCCTCTGATTGCAGCTAGAGTGCAACCAGGCTCAGCCACACCTGTGAGAGATGGCTCTTTCTCAATTGCAGTAGCAGATGCTGGGGAAGCAAGTTACTGCCTGGTTTGCTGCTCTGATTTAGTGGCAGTTTTATTCGTAATCATTCCCAGCCATCCACCACCTGCACGCCCACCCACACGTACACATCCAGCTTGCCACTCTTCTCCCTATTCTGCCAATTCACAAAATCAGTTTGCTGTACATACACTCTCTGTCCCAGGGTTCATCAGCAAAACAGATGTAATGGGCAAAATTAAGTTTAAATGACCAGCTACCCAAATCCTCTACTGGAATAAGCATGCATTAGTATGCAAAAGGGGAGCTGCTGGCTGTACAAGCAATCCAGGTGGTGCATGTGATCGAACTGACACTGCTAGAAAAAGCAACTAAGAGTTAATGGAGAACACAGGCTCCTCATTTCCTACGTTGCATATGAAAAAGCACAGAAGACTCTAATACAGTACAATTGAGCATTTCACTAAATAGCACCACACAGAAGTTCCTCTGGCACGGACTGCATTTGTCCTAAATAACCTTTACAAGAAGCTGAAAGTTGATGCACCCAGCTCAAACGAAATTTCGGACCGAACCCAAATCCTTCGGTTTGTGCTTCGCAGTGCAGAAAGAGCCAGGCACAAAGAGCAACTAGGGAACGAGCCACCTCCTCCGCTTAAAAAAAAAAATAGCCAGTCACGGGCTGAGGCTGCAGACGGCACAGTTACTGGCTGGAGCCAGGGAGCCCTGGGCTGCTGTGAGCATTCGGGAGCGCATCGGTGCCACTCTCCGGCGGGGTTCCTCCCAGCAGCCCAATTCGGCGCCGGAGACAGCACCCCTCCGGGGCTGAGGGCTCCTTCGGTGTGAGCCGGCTGCTGGACGGCCAGAGAAACTCCGCACCGGCAGAGAAACGCAGCCCGCCCCGAGCTCCCATTGCTCACTGTCAGCAGTGTCGCTGCCCCTCCTGGCGGGCCATCACTTGTCCCCTTGCTTCCCACACCTCCTAAATGCCGCCCTCACACCAGACTAGAAGGGAAAGCTTTTCCTATGAACCGCAGCGAATTCCAGCCGCCTCCCACGGCTGTTCCTGCCTCGACGCCCGCCACACGAGCGGGGAACAGGCCGAGAGACAGCCAAGGGAAGGAGAACTTGGCGCTCCCTGGCCTCCCGCAGGGCACCGCGCGTCCCCCGAGCTGCAATAGCCCCGGGACGGACGGCGCCCGATGCCGATGACCCGACCGGCGGGAGGGGTGTGCCCGAGCGGACCGGCGCGCTTTACTTACGGATTTTGGGGGTCGTGGTGGTCTCCGGCGTAGTAGTGGTAGATTCCTGGAAGGGAGACAAGGTCCAGGAGGGCGCCGAGTCGTGGACGTAGATCTTGTAGGAGGAGGTAGCGTGTGCCGCAGTGGGCCAGGCGGGCAGCGGCGGGGTGCTGGGGGCGGCGGGCGGCGGTCGACCGGCGCGGCCGGCAGTGCCGGGGGGGCCGCTGGCGGGCGGCGCCGTGTGGGGCGCGGCGGGCTGCCGGGGAACCGTGGGTCTGGGGCCGCCCCGCGCCGGGCCGCGGGTGCCGGGGGGCCTCGGGGGGGCCCGGCTCATCGTGGTGAGGCGGGGGCTGACACGGCTGGGCGGCCGCGGCGTGGCGGCGGCGGTGGTCTCCGCGCCGCGGGGGGGGGCGGTGGGCTTGGAGAGGAAGAAGGGGTCCTGCCCCACGCCCTTGGCGTCCATCAGCTCGGTGGGGACGTACTCCTTGACGGAGCCCACCACGATCCACTTGAGCAGCATGAGGCTGAGCCCCAGGCCGATGAAGCCTATGAAGAGGGGCACCACGCACAGCCACGTCTGCTGCCGGTTCCAGACGATGCAGTCGCTGCAGCGCAGCTCTCGCGGCGGCCCCCCGGCCCCATCCCCGCCCGGGCCCCCCGCCGCCGCCTCCGCCGCCCCGGGCGCCGCGGCGCCGGCAGCCCCCTCGCTCATCCTAGGGGCCGTCCGCAGCGCCGCCGCGGCCCCGGGGCATCAGCGCGCCGCGGATGCCGGCGGCATGCGGCGGAGGTGGGCGGAGGGGAGCGGAGCGGAGCGGCGCGGGGCGGAGAGGCGCGCGGCGCTCGGTCACGCCGCCGGCATAGCGAGGCGAGGCGAGGCGAAGCGAAGCGACCCCCGCGCCGCCCCGCGCACCTCCCGCGGCCGCGGAGTCAGCGGGACGGCCGCGCCGGGCGCCCTCCTCTTGCGCCGCCCGCGTCAGCCAAGGCGCTCTCCTTCTTCTCCCGTCACTCCTAGGCTTTGCTCTCCTTTATCCTTTTTTTTTCTTTTTTTTTTTTTTTTTCCCTCCGTGCAATAAGTCGCGGCGATCAGCCTCCTCGATTATTACGATTTTTTATCCCAAGCGCGCGGATCCGGCTGCGGGAGGGCACATTCCTTCACATCCACGCTCCTTCTCGCCTCTCCTCCTTCTCCTCGCCCCTCGGGGCCAGGGGATCTTCTCTCGCTTTCTCGCTCCCTCCCCCGCCCGCTCGGCTCCCGCCTCTGCCCGGCCGCGGCGCAGCGGCAGCCCCCGGCTGCTCAGCGGGGAGGCGGCGGCGCGACGCCCGCCACTCCGCGGCCCCGCGGCCAACCCGCGGCCGGCGCTGGGCCAGGGAGGCCGATCCGCGGGCGGGGCCCGGGGCAGGAGGCTCGGCTCGGCAAGGCTCCTCGCGGCTTCTCCGCGTCCGCGCTTAAGTCCGGCCCGCAGTAAAACTCCGGTGAGGATGCCCGGCGAAAAAAAAAATAATAATAATAATTAAAAAAAAAAAAAAAAAAAAAAACACACCCCAAAAAATATAAAAAAAAAAAAAAAAAAAATGAGCCCTTGAAGCGGCGGACGCCAGTGACCCAGTCGGCAAAAGCACGGATCCGGCCAACAGATAGGCACGCACACGGCAACCCCTGCCAAGCTTGCAGCTCCTGCTCAATTGTGCATTCCTCTCGCGGCGCAGGGGAGGCAGGCGAGCGCTCAGCGAGTAAGGCGCCTCCCACCAGAGCCTAATGGTGGTTTCTTAATGCGCACAAGATAAATAAATGATCCGGGCAAAGCCCTCGGGAGGGTGGATGCTACGGCTAGCAGAGCCTGGGAAAGGGAAGAAGAGAAAGGGAAGGAAGAGAAAAAGAGGAAAGAAAAAGAGGGTAACTGCAGAGCGCCTGAACTCATCCTTCGGCGGTGCGGCAGTAACCCATCGCGCTATGCCGCACGGCAAAAAGACGCGTGGAGGGAGGGAGGTGGAGACGCTTTCAGAGAGGATTCCTCGCCAACGACCGGGGCTCAGGACAAGATGCTTTCTGACGCTGATGCTCTCTGATGGCTAACAATGAGCAGCGTTTGTTTGTGAAAGGGATTCCCTCCAGGAAAGCACAGACCAGCAGCAGCCACCTGCAACAAAGGGACAGCACTCTTCGGCAGCCGGGGCGAGGGATGGCATGGGCACACGGCTACCAGGATGCTCCCAGACAAGTGCGGATGCTCAGGCTGCCCCAACTCCTTCATCTACTTCAGAGGGTTATGTTCATTGCGACCAGCAGTGCTTGCTTCCGTCTCACCTTCTGGACAGACCATTCTGTAAATACTTGGAGTGGTCACTGAAGGGTTAACAGCACGGTACCAAAGGGTGAGCTTAATGCCATTTGCCAAATTTTAGAAAATGGTTTATAACACCATATGTGTGCAAATGCTTTTAACCCCTTCTTCTAAACTATTAAACCATTGGCGTCATTTCCTGGTAATGACACTTGGGTATAATTTCCTTAGTCACTTATATAGAAATGTATTAATATTTATACAGAATAATTGAACAGAAAGAAAATGGAAACAAAATGTGAAATACATTTTTTTTTTCTGTCTATACACAAACACAGAAGATGCTGTTTACGAAGATGGATAGTGATAGGACAAGGGGGAATGGTTTTAAACTGAGCCAGGGGAGGCTTAGGTTAGATATCAGGAAGTTTTTCCGCACAGGGGGTGGTGAGGCACTGGAACAGGTTGCCCAAGGAAGCTGTGGATGCCCCATCCCTGGAGGCATTCAAGACCAGGCTGGATGTGGCTCTGGGCAGCCTGGTCTGCTGGTTGGCAACCCTGCGCATAGCAGGGGTTTGAAACTAGATGATCATTGTGGTCCTTTTCAACACAGGCCATTCTATGATTCTATGAAGACACTGCAGTTGAAATGTATCTGCTTGATTTTTTTGTTTGGAAGGAATGCTAAAGCAAGTATGACATAATACAAGAAGTACATTAAGAAGACATGAACTAATCCAGCTGCATCTTGGCAGCTTCTCTAAGACAGCCCTATGCTAAGAGCTACTAGGAAATCTCCAGAAGCGGCTGATCAGCTAAGTGCATCCCTCAGACCTTTTCTTGCTTTAAGACAACTAAACAACAACAGCACTTTGGCTCTGGAGAGAATGAATATACAGATTTCTATCCATTGAAGAGGAAAACGATTGGGTGAAGGCATTTAGAGACAATCACAAGAGAACTGCACAGTTACTCAAGTGGACACCTACCTACTAAAGCAATTAGATGAGCAAGACAGGGATGTCTTGGACATCCACAGAAGCTTTGTTGCTGATTTTTTAGGACCTGAGATTTCTTATGAACATGTACAACTAGGTGCTGATAGTTGTAAGGGTCAGTCCTGCACAGTCATAGAATCATAGAATGGATGGATTGAAAAGGACCACAATGATCATGTAGTTTCAATCCCCTGCTATGTGCAAGGTTGCCAGTCCTCACCTTCCTCACCGAGTGGACTGCTGTCCTGCTCCAGGCATTGCATTTCCTGCACAAACACCCTTCTACTCTTGCCTCTTCTGCAACCATATTGCTGTTTGTTACATCCTGTATGAACAGTTCTTTGTATTCATTCTCAAGCCATTTGTACATGCATCTTGGGAGAATATAACACGTGAAAACTATTTTACAACCCTCACAAGACAGAGAGCTTTTAAGTCCCTTTAAACTAAGATGACCAAGTTCTGAAGCCTTTCAGTTCTGTTCCGTCTCAACTGCACTTCTTCCCTCACTAAGATTTTTCAAGCTGTCAACTTCTTTAATTTGTAATGGCTCTAACAGAAAGGCATCTTAATGATACCATTAAGATGACTCAAATGCAGCCATTTCATCCTTTAATATTGAAAGACTTCCTGTATTATGAGCAAAGATTTGTCAGCTTTTCTTACCATTTCCTATCTATACCATTGGGATTGACAAACTATTCTTCAAATTGGTTGGGTAACGCTTTCAGTACGCCACAGTTAACTGAATTACTTCAAAGCAGATATTTTCTGGATAAATTAATGAAGACTTTTCCATTGACTACTATCGTCTTTGAAGAAAGACAGTTCTTTGGTTTAAAAACATGAAATGCCTGTGGACCTTGACACAACAGAACCGCACAGAAAAGAAAAGCGTATTTCAAATGGAGTAGGTTTTAGTTAAAATGAATAAATTACTTAAAACGAGAAAAGCTCTTTTACTTGCACAGGTGTTACAGAGCTACATGATGCACCTTGACAGACACTTGAGTGCAGGTGATGTATGGAATTCTGGTCCTGTAATGATTTAGCTGTTAGTTAAGTTATTATGATGTATACAAAAACACAGACTCTAAATTATTCTAGATTACTTTTCTGTCCTTAGGAATTAATATTCAAATCATAATCAGTTTTTCAAATCAGCCCACTCTTGTTAACTGAATCTGCTCAGCACATTAATTCTAATTTACGTAGGTATTTTGTAAATTTCACTTGCATTTCTTCCTACTCACTCTGTATCATAGCCCAACTTTTTTACTTATTCTGGAAATACATCTATCATGAACAGAAAACAACATATAATTTATTTTTCTTCATAGAATGCTAATACATCCTTATTATCTCCCCAAGGACGTTGGTGACTGGGATAGAATTGAACAGTTTATCCATGGTAAAGTCATATAGTCTTAAAGACTGATGTGACAGAAACAATGGATATGCTGTTTATGCATGTACTGCTTTGTCACATAGGATTTAAATTTGGCTTTGCAGTAGGTATGCCACAGTCAGAGTGATATGACAAGGGTTCTGTTCCTCATGGCTTTACATATGCCTCCATGCAGCAGAACCAGTGACATCCTCTTTAAATAGCAAAATGTAATAAACAAGTTCAAGGAGTTATGTTTGCTTTAGCTGTTATCATGGAAGCAGTCCTGAAGATCTCAGAATAACTATCCTCAGAAGAGCCAACAAAAGAAATAGAATTTCAAAACAGGAAAATAAGACCATTTTGGAGCTATATCCATGTCAGCACTCAACAGCATGCATTTGAAATGCATATGTTCATATTCCACATGCACACGCAGAAGCCTGTTTTTCCTTCTCCAACTTTATAAAATCTGAGGACATTCATTGTTAATCCATATAAATTTTATCTCGAGCTGTGAACAATACAAGCTCTACAGTTACTTCACCCTATGGTGTGATTGGTGCATAAACATTTCTTCAAATTCTACACCTGGGGAGGAATAACTGCACACATCAGTACAAGTTAGGGGCTGACCTGCTGCAAAAGAACTCTGTGGAAAAGGACCTGGGTGTCCTGGTGGACAATGAGTCGATCGTGAGCCAGCAGTGTGCCCTTGTGGCCAAGAAGACCAGTGGTATCTTGGGGTGTATTAAATAGAACGTGGCCAAGAGGTTAAAGGAGGTGATCCTCCCCCTCTACCCTGCCCTGATGAGGCCACATCTGGAGTACTGCATCCAGTTCTGGGCTCCCCAGTTCAATAAAGAGGACAAAGAACTTCTGGAGAGAATCCAGCAGAGGGCCAGAAGGATGATTGAGGCCCTGTAGTATCTCCTATGTGAGGAAAGGCTGAGTGACCTGAGTGACCTAGGACAGTTTAGCCTGACACAGAGAAGGCTGAGAGGGCATCTTATCACTGCTTATAAATATCTAATGGGCAGATGTC